ACCAGAGGCATCGCAATTCCCTACATACCCACGAATGCTCTAAAACATACGAATAAGTTATTGAAAGTTGACGTAAAGTATGGGAATATTGAAAGAATCGATGCTTTCGCTTTTGCTAATTTGAGCCTAATTGAAGAAATTATGTTAAGTGATAATCAAATAAAAATACTGAAAAAACATGCTTTTGCCCATCACAGAGACTTAACAGTTCTTGGGTTGGACTCCAACAACATAATCGAGATTAATAGAGATGTATTTATTGAATTACCGTCACTAGAAACACTATATCTCACAAACAACAAAATAACTACAATACATGATAAAGCGTTTGTACATTTAATCAACTTAAAAGAACTCGAAATCGACCGAAACGGTCTTTTTAGTTTGAATAGCGAGACGTTTTCAGGGCTTAGAAATTTGCAAAAACTGGATCTCAGTAGTAACAACCTTGAAGTGATCGGAGACAATACATTTTTGCCTCTGGTCAACCTTAGAACATTGAATTTGGAAGAGAATAAAATTCAAATGCTGGACGAGAAAGCATTCAACGGTTTGGCACGACTAAATATTTTGAACTTGGCACATAATAAGCTCACAACTATTGAAAATGTCAAAACATTTGAAGGACTGGAATCGCTAACAATGTTAAATTTAAAAAGCAATCTGCTTAATGAACTGAAGCCTCAAGTGATGTCACCAATATTGAAAAACTTCTACGGCAATACCAGTAGCTTGGATGTGGAAGGTGAGATTTTATGTCTGTTTTTTTTTCTATAAAATACTTATCTTAAAATATTGCTTCTGTTATCCGTTATTCTAATCTGTTATACCTCTAAAAGTATAGTATTCTCTCATCAGTAAAGTTATAAGAGGGGTTAGAGTTAAATAGGTGACTTTATTTAAAGTTATATGTAGTATAGGTACTACATTATAACTTTACGTGTCGTGAACTTGACGACGTCACAAATATCCAGACGCTTAAAATTAATTAAAAGATTATGATTAAATATAATTCAGAAATAAAGAAATCACAAATCACAAGCAATAATTGCCCACTGAAAATCAGTGCTGGGTGACTTGTATGCCTGGCTTACACTGAGTGGGTGACCCTTTTAGCACAGTCTTGTTGTCAGCGTCTCTCTTCTAATTCTTCTGTTTTAATTTTTCAACTCTTATGTTTTTATTACTTCCACTGTCACACCTTTATTGTATTTTTATATTTTATTTATGCTGCATCGTGCCTGTTGCTGAATAAATGTTTTTTCTTTCTTTCTTTCTTTAATTCAGACTGTAATTTTTAATTTTCAGATAACAACTTCCCTTGCGACTGCCGTTTAGATTGGTTCATATCACTGATGAATAAGACGCAGAACATTCATTTCAAACGCGCTATTGAGAACCTTAAATGTAATCCTGACAACAATTTAAGGGAACTGTGGGCCAAAACTGAAGAACTTGAAAAGAATACGGGTCAAGTCCTTGCTGAGGAAGAGGAATCTCAAGTACAAAATACTGACTACGAATACTATGACGAGACACAACTCAATGGAAAACTATTTTACATAGATGTAAGGGATTTGGCAAACTGCACTAACACTAGTCGTCGAGTACTAAACGCGGCAGTTGCTGGAAAGAAACCAGCAACAACTTCAGAAGCAGATGCCAAGTTATCTACCAAAGCAAAAGCTAGTCCAGTAACTACACCGATGTCCACAACAGAATACGAAATGTCATCATCTGTAACGACACCTGAAGACACTGAAGATGTAGTTGAAACTAAGAAATCCAAAGAAGATGGAATATTGAAACCAAATAAAGAAAACGAAACGAAAAATAAAGAATCATTTACAACTGTTCGTCTTGTTACTGTTTCTGCTAAACCCCTTGAGCATAATTATGACCATGACATGGCTTCGGACGAAGCACGACCAGAGAAAGTTAAGGAGCACACCCGCAAGAGCATTCAAGACGATATACAATCCTCGCCTAAGAGGGCCGACAGTAGTGCAAGCAGTAATGTGAATAGTGTGGCTTTAGTAACAATGATATTATGCTTTAGACTGTACTTTTATTAAATCACTAAATAATACAATAGTTGTTTAGCCGATAATGTTATTGTCTCACAGTCATTAAAATAAATAATTTTAAGATTCAAATTGTTTTATTTCCTTATCATGACTAAATGACACTTACATGAAGTATATGCTGAACCACGATAACTGGAGTCAACCAAAATGATGTCCTGTGTTCGAAACTCGGGTAAAATAATCTATACTCTCGCTGATCAATAGTCTAGATATCTATATAATTATTATGGCTATACATAGTCTCGATAAATTGAGGAATAATTAGGTACGTAGTACTAACTGAAGTTTTCCTTCTTCTGAACTCCATTAGTGGGTACTCAACTACCTAAGTATCAACAATCACTGCAATAATACGTAATCATTTTGCTTACCCTTATTGACAATTTTTATTCCTCAAATGTTTCTTTTTTATATTTGATGGGGCGACGTTTGACCACTATCTCGCCTGGTGGTAAGCGATGATGCCGTCTACGATGCACTTGTCATAGTTAAACCGAAGTAATCATAAACTATGACTGCCTCGTTGGCCGTGTGGTCGCAAGTGCGACTGCCGGGCAAGGGGTCTTGGGTTCGATTCCCAGGTCGGGCAAGTATTACTGGATTTAAAAAAAAATCTCAGTAGTAGCACAGAGTCTTGAATTGTGTCCGGTATATGGCAATAGGCTCACCCCCTATTACATGGGACTCATAACATAATAGTGATAAGTTGGTGTTACATTGTAGTGGCATAGTGTGCACCTCTGCCTACCCCTTTGGGGATAAAAGTTTTTACCGATAATTAAATTAATTTAACGTTATTTAAATTTGTAGCATGTACTGCCATCTAGACCAGTTCTTGTAGTACTAAAATTGGAGCGATGTCAAATACATCTTACATGCCTGTTTTCATAGATGGCGCTTATGTGTTTGTACTATAATGGCAGAAGATGGCGCTAAGATTCTTTTTCAAATGGCTAGCCGGAAGAAAGTGGCATAAAGTAAATGATTCCTACTGTATAATCATTATTGTTATTGTTATAACAAAAAATTGTTAAAAGTAACTTATAAATTTTTAACTTCTAATTTTTATTTAATATATAACGTATTCTAACATTGTACTTTACTCTAATTAAAGTACATAGATTTGTATTGTACGTTTTCGATTTATGTTAATGAAAATAATAAAAGATAAACAATATTTATTATTGCCATCTATTGTTTTTGTGAAATGAGCATTTTGTAGGAACACAAATAAGAATACTATGCTATGACGATAAGTTCGAAAAGTTTGCTTTAATAATGTATAGATGGAGACATTTACAAATTTTCTTACCGATGGAAATTCAGTTATCCACAAATCTCAACAAAAATATCTTTCCATCTTCTTTTTAGTCTACCTTTATTTCTTTATTCCATCTAATGCATAATTTTTTGGCCCATATACTTACTTAGTATTTATTTATTGTTACCTACCTTGTCTCTTGTATTGAAAGACAATGTCCATTGTTTAAATAGTAGGTGGATAATTATTATTTCACAAATATAAATAGGTAAATATCCACTCGGATTAAGTAAATTAATTTCATTCATTTATAATTTAGTTTCTCTCCGTCTCTTTCTAGGCAATTACATTTTGACGGACAAACGTTTTCTTTATTCAATTAAACTCTCCGAATGTCTCGGAATAAACTGAGAATTTAAAGCATAAACAAAAATATAAAGTCAACAAATTGTGTTGGACGTTTACTAGGTATCTACTCACGTTAATCAAGATCTTGTGTAATACGGATAATGGTACTGTTACACATGATAAAAGGCGAATGCCTTTAGTTCAAATTATGTTCAAAAATAGAAAGTTTGTGGATTTGCAAACATGCCTAGAATGAGCATGCTAATTTTGAGCAACATTGTGATTCTGAACTGACAAGTGCTCTATTGAAGCATGCTTTTGTGGTTGAAGATGCAGTAGACAACAATACCGTAAGTATAGACTTATATTTAGATTAACGGGTTATTGGGGCTCCGGCTCGAAGTGTAGGAGAAGGAACGGGGTGGTTTTTAGTCAGTAAGAGTCTGACACTCCCTTCCGCCTCACACAGGCGAGAGTAGTCATTCGATGATTTTCCCCCCTTAAAAAAAAGTATAGACTTATATAGGTACTTTGTAATAGTGCCATGGTCTATATATTATTCCCCGAACCTGGAATCCATATAGTTGTAAAGTGGTTGTAGCCTAAATTTGTAAAATAAATAAAATACATAAGATATATACTTACTTATATCTTTGGATGCCTATGTATTTATATAAAATGTATCGGAATACTTTATTCTAGGCAATCCTGGGGGCGTTTACTCATATTTTTATGATGTTCACTCAAATCCCTAATATGATTCGATGGTTTTCAATTTCCCGACCGTGATGTAGGCTTGCGTGAGACCCCTGTAATGGAGTGTGGTCGTATAATAAATACTGTTACGACCAAAACATGCCTCACTTGCCCGGGAAAATTTAGATCATCTCAGTGGGTTACCAATTAAACTGCGTAGGTAGTAGAAAGGTTCTGTCAGATTTTGTCTGTCTACTACCTACACTACCTACCTAGGTATTTTATAGATACTAGATCTAAGTAATGCAAATCTTAGGCAATTTAAAATTATATAACAGTTATTAGTTGGATCTGAATAAAGGGCTATTTTATTTATTATTTATTTTATTTATTTAGGTAGTAGAAACTAGAAACATTCTTAGTTGGTAAACTTCGTGCCTAAGTTTCAGATCTACGGTTCTACCGTGGTAAACTAATCGCTTTTTAGGGGTATAGGTACGAAAATTTTTTACCAGAAAATCATAAACGTTACTTACGTTTTAAAATTGCAATTGCAACTAATGTTTATACACATAGGCATAGGTGCGTAAGAAATAAAACAACGACGGTGATATACTTATAAAAATGTTTTATTGTATATAACTAGAAGTTACAATTATTAATCCTTCGACTACAAAACATTTTGATTTTTCTACGTAGGTACCTACTTATTGATGACAAAAATAATTAAGGAATGATCAAAAAATGTAATATTTATTTATTTAGTCTTTACGTGTACAATTTGATTAAATAATGGCAGATAAGGTGAACTTAAATTTTCCTTTGACATTAATGTCATTACGTAGAATTACGATATTGAATAAAAAGATCGTAGTATATGTAATATATTAGGTAATACTTAATTATATTTTTAATAAGTATAGGTACCTAACGTCTTAAAAGCGTTTGACATTTAAGTAGACATAAAAACATCCGAAACTAAAACACAAAACTAATATAGACAATGTTCCCTAGACAAAAATTATTATTTTTCGTTGTTTAAGTTCCTAAAACTGACTGGCACAATTTTGATTGAAATTAAATGTTTATTTTTGTGCTTCCATCTCGCAAATAAACGGTAGCCTTTGGCCACAATCTTCAGTAGAAGTGTAAATATATCCATTACCACCATTAGCTGTTATAGTTCCACAATCAGCATTCTGATTGTTGTATGAGTGGATGTACATGTCGCTGAATTTTTGACCTGTAAGTAATTTTATAATTTAGTGAATACTTAGGCTGCTCAAAAAAAAAAGAATGTGACAGAGGCCTTCTATGAATACAGCCTTACCCAAATTGATTAGTTTTTTTTTTATTTTGACACGATATCTTCCTATTTACTTTTAATTCTGAGATGAATTTGAATATTGAAATAGGTTTTGAAGATGATAAGCAAATTTGTAACTGAGTGACGACATTGATTGGGTGTCGGTTTTTTGTGAGGCCGTTGTATCACTGCGGTTGTGCACATTGTGCCGAAGCATGGCTCTCCCACACTTAAATATATTTATGTATAATGCAATGCATGTGATAATTATTACTTTCCAAGTTTATCAAGTACAAAAAGTAAGGACTACTGTTCTCGTTAACAGTACTTTATGCTCACACATTCGTCAATTGACGATTGTTAGGCGAATACCTTTGTTTTGCGTAGAAACAAACGATATTTTGTCGACTACACGGCAATGTCGTCGCTCAGTGTTATAAATTTGCTTATCATCTTCATCTTCTTTGCGAAGCAGTCATGCTAGTTAAGAAGGAGGCGAGACGCGTGAGGCAGCGAAGCGCTGCCTCCTCGTAACTAAGCCATCGCGAAGGACACTCGGGGCGTCGGGGATCGCGAAACGATCTCCGGCCACCGTAAGCGCGGGCCTGCGGACGGCGAGCATGAGTGGCTCGCCGCCCGACCAGAGCCAGACCCGAACGTACGGCGCGTCGCGTTCCGCGCGCGCCTCTATGAGCCATCAGACCACCACGGATGGAGCCCAATAGGACTGATGGCGATTCGGAGTCGCGGAGAACCTAACGGGTTACCGGAGCTCCGGCTCGAAGCGCAGGAGTAGGAACGGGATGGTTAGTCAGTAAGAGTCTGACACTCCCACCCGCCTCACCCAGGCGGGAGAAGCCATTCGATGATTTAGCCCCCTTAAAAAAAGTGTTTTGGATGGCCAAATACTTATAGTATATTTCGTCAAGTGATTCGACTGCTCGTTTACCGACTTATTCCATAAAAATGCCCGTATGCATCGTATTTATATTTAACTGAACTAGAATTTCTAAATTAATAGAAACTTGGTAAAACTGACTGACTATGTCGACCTAATTTTTTTGAGGGTTAGGTTCAATATCGTTAGGCAAAAATATAGAATTTGTACACGTACCTTTCACTGTATAGTAATCACTTTGAGAGAAAAGTCTTCGGACTCCTACAAAGTAATTACTGTCATCGATTATATCATAAACATCCTTTGCTTGTGCACTGTTCTCTATGACTGCCAGTATTCCACCTTCCATGAAACAAGTCTTCATAGCATCCTGCCACATGTGCGGTTTCTTGTTTATCTTATAACATTTCCGCGAAGATTTCACATATTTGTAACCTGAAATCATGATAGTATTTTATAAACTAGATTTCTGCTCTGCGTTGTGATGAGACAAAAAGAAATATACGCATTTTTACATTTATAATATTAGTAAGGACATTATTTTAATATAGCACTTTTGTCATAACAAAATTATTGCTCAACTTTGATTTCGTACATTTTAGGTAAAGTACATAATTATAATATAATTATAATTTAAAATGAAAACCCGAATAATCGGGACATGGCATAAAAATCGAATTTGAGATTTACTGCTGGACACTTTTGTGATATTGAAATTGAATGTAAGAAAAGCTGTAAATATTACCGCGATCAATAGTTGGACATGATTCGTCGTCGGTTTTCTTGCAAACGAAAGGTAAGGGTGTACTGTCTGTGCGAATACAAATATCCTCATGAAACATGCCGTTGTCTATGTTCATCGTCACGCAGTTGTCCCCTAAATCACTCTGAGGACTGTTAACATCTAGTGGATATGGTGTCGAATGACCTGAAAAAAATATCTTTGTTTCTCATTACCTAATTAGGTACTGGTATATCTTCCACTAATTGGACATTACATCTATATTTTGTTTACTGGAATAATATATAAGCGTTGATTCAAAGTTTTACTTTATTTTTATATGCGTGTTAATAGTGTGCTTCAGAAGGCATCAAATGATAATGCAATAATAAAGTAGATACTAATAAATAGCGCACTTACCATCAACGGTAATAAACTCTCCTAAGTCAAATTCGTTGTGGAATCCAACAAATATTTCTGTCACATTTGGCACTTCGGTCATTTTATCAGTCAAATTCTTCACCAAAGCCCATTCTCCTTTGATTTTCGGATAGAACAGTGTGGCGCCTTCATCATCGCAGGTCATGAAAGCCAAGTTCCAATTTGTTCCACTCAAGTCCCAGTGAAGTTTATAGAAAGCATCAAACTCCTCAATGTACGTGTAGTCTTTTCTATAAAACGGTACACGTCGGGAGTACGCCGAAGGGAGTGTTATGCCTGTAAAAAAATTAATGTAAGAGTACTAAAGCTACCTTTGCCCACGGTTTCGACTGTTATCAGGTTTGTGTCTAAAACAAACTTATCGCTAAGAAGTTTATTTGTGACAGGTGATTTAACTAATGCTGAACTATTACGATTTTTTAAATAAGTTCTTAGAATATATAAAAAACTTACCAATTAAAGAAATCAATATGACAATCGACTTCATCGCTGCTAGTTATACTACACAGTATTAAACTAGGACACAAGGAACATTACATTTATATACTCACGAATAAAAATTATATTCTTGTTTATGGTCGGGTAAGACCCTGCTTCGTATAAAACATAGGCAGACATTTTTGTTATACAGGTTGTTTCAATAATCTGTGTAGGTAGCTTATATCATACGTGCAGGCGACAGTACACCATCACATCTATTTAAATTACATCTATTTGAAACAATTTTTGTTTTGAGTTTTGATTACTTTAATTTCGAAGTAACCGCGTTTGTTATTGAGGCAGAGCCATGTCTTTTTTATTGTATAAGCCGGTAAACGAACTACGAATCACCTGATGCTAAGCAGTCGGGGCCGCCCATGGACACCTGAAACACCGGAGGCGCTACATTTGCGTTACCGGCCTTTAAGGGATTAAGATTTTGAGGATTGTTGGGAAGATTGGGGAGGGGGTAATTGGGCCTCCGATAACCTCACTCACACGACGAAACATAACGCAATTGTTATTTCACGTCGGTTTTCTTTGAAGCCGTGGTATCACTCCAGTCGAGCCGGCCCATTCGTGCCGAAGCATGGTTATGCCACATTTAGAGAATAGGGTAGATACCTAATTTTTATTTTAATGTCGGTCTGGTAGATAATTTTTAATCATTAGACACGTATTTTTTATTTTCTTACAGAAACGAATACTTTCGACGATATATTGATTTGAAATGTCGCGTGACGTCACTTCTATGTACATTCTATACGTAGAAATGACGTTTTAGCCCCTACTCCTGAACTTTGATTCGTTTTATCAAAGTATTATTTTATTATACAACAAAATAAAAAAATACGTGTCTAATATTTTTTCATCACCTAACTTACGGACTAACTAGATTTTTAATTTTCATACCCCGTCATCATCCCAATTTCAGCTCGAATGGGTTGGCTCAACAGGAGTGAAGCTACGGCTAACCGGTACCTCTTGTGTTGTGTTTCGCCGTATGAGTGAGGCTACCGGAGATTCAATCTTGCCTTGGCCCATCACCAATCCCCAAATATCCCAATCTTCAAATCCCGAAAATCCAAAAGGCCGACAACACACTTTTTTTTTTTAAAAAAAAACGTTGCCCCACATTAGGATTTTCTCCTGTGTCGTGGGTGCGTTTACAAACATACAAGTTCACATACACAATGACACACAGACCCGAAACAACAATTTGTGGATCACACAAAGTGTTGTTCCGTGCGGGAATCGAACCCGCGACACGTTGCACGAGAGCCGGTTGCCCAGCCACCGCACCAACCGTGCAGTCACTTACTTATTGTACTTATTTGTTATTGTGGGCGGCGCCAATTGCTTACCATCAGGTGATCTGTTGCCTTATTCCATAAAAATATATGCACTTGTAAATTTAAACATGCTGTAAGTAATCTACATTTTTATCGCCGGGTGACGGATGTCAAAGGTTTGAGTCTGCAAAGATAGTATATAGGACTTTATTTATTGCTGACAACTGGTATTGTTAATTTTTATTAGTTTTTGCCCACGGTTTTGCCTGCCATGCTAAAAAGTAATATTTTATCTCTTCAACGTAAGATAGCACACTCTTAGAATACAGAAGTTGAACGAAGAAATACCTATATCAAAATTAAGTCTCCCGATCGATTTTGAACATGGTAGGTAGTTATTAGGTAGTTAGGTACACCGTGAAATCTATGTCGTTCTCGTCCCGAAGTAAAATGATTCTGTCTTGGTAATCCAATAGTTTTACAAAAATAATAATAATAATAAAATGTTTTAAACATTTTATTTCTTTATGAAACTATTGCTATGCCAATAAATATCCGGTGAAAAAAGCAAACTTCAAAAGCGCATACGAACTCATGTGTGATTCTTGAAGAGATATTATTTTGTCGTCGGGTGGCCCGTGCGATGGGAATATAGTGCGTACAAATATCGTCGTCACGTCTAGTTTTCATTTTTCTTTTTAAACTAAAAAACGACTTTAATATTTTTTTGTTTTTACATCATACAAGTTGTATCGTTGCGGGACGGAAACGAAACAGATTTCATGGTGTATAAGGTAACCGACCCCGTATGTCAAAGTCAAAGTCAAAGTCAAAGTCAAAATCATTTATTTCAATTAGACCAGGATGGCACTTTTGAACGTCAAACAACAAAAATTTATAAGTGAAGCTAGTTGCTCATTCCAAGGCGTAGATTCCTATGGAGAAGAACGAGCAAGAAACTCCATAGGTTACTCCATAGGTAACAATATTCATTTCCTATTTTTAAATTGACTGTACAAAGGGCGCGGATAGCAACCGACTACCGCACAAAATGTAGCGAGTTCGATTCCTGCACGGAGTAATTCTTTGCGTAGCCTTCACATTGTTGTTTCGGTTCCGGGTGTCAAATTGTTTATTTTTAAATGAAATTATATGTTTGCAAACGCAACCACGATACAGGATAAAATCTCAGTGTGGGGTAACGTTCATATCTATTACCTTGTTATTCTTTTTTTCTGTTTATAATTAAAAAGCGACTATTCATACTATTCAACTAAGTATACGCGCAAAAAATACGTTCTAAGTGTCAAACCGAATAACTATTGCATTCGTAACGTAATTTCTGATTTGCCGGCTCCAGTGAACCAGCCAATCCTAGCACCGAACGCACCACAGTAGGTACTATTCCATCGCGACGCACGCGCCCCGCCTCCTACTTAGCTAGCATGACTGCTTCACAAAAGGAGGAGACAGCATCCCAGTCCTCCTCGCTCCGCATCATGACCCAGACTAGGACCGGACGCTAGAGGTCGCAGTCGCCGATCACATCCCTGAGGGCACGACGGTGCTCAGCCCACGCAGGGCACCGAGAGTTCCACCGTGTCCTGAGGGCGGTACTCACATTGATGACACCCGGGCGTTTACTCCCGCTCTATCAGACACAGGTACCTCTCGAAGCTCCGATGTCTGGTGAGGACCTGCATCAGGTGGTAGATGAGGACGCCGTAGCGTCTCTCAAGCCACTTCTCAAAGAGGGGACTTACCGCTGCAATGGCAGCGAGCAAAGTTATTCGTGCTTGGCAATTTGCTTTGCCAGGACGGAAGGACAAACAAATATTAATATTGTTAGTAGTGTACTTAATGTTATTAATATAATATTATCGCACATCCGGCAGATGTACAAACTTTTTACAAGATAAGTTATTTGCTTTGTTTGTTGTTGACCAAAATTATCGCAAATTCAACTTCCAGGTATTGAGACACGGTGGAGCATACGGTGGCGGTGTGTCATGCTTGGGCTGAGCACCGCCGTGTCCTCACGGATGTGATCGGCGACGGCGACCTCTCGCGTCTGGCTACGGTTCAGACCATGGTACGGAGCGAGAGCGGGACTGGGATGCCGTCTCCTCCTTCTGCGAAGCAGTCATGCTAGCTAAGGCGGAGGCGGAGCGAGTGAGGGAACGAACCTCCTCACGCCCCAGCCGTCGCGAGAGACACTCCAGGCGTCGGAGATCGCGAGACGATCTCCGGCCACCGTAAGCTCGGACCTACGGATGGCGAGCACGGGTGACTCGCCGCCCGACCTGACCGCGCGCGCTTCAAGGAACCATCAGACCACCACAGATGGGGCCTAATAGGACTGATGCCGATCCGGAGCCGCGGAAAACTTATCGGATTGCCGGGGCTTCGGCTCGAAGTGCAGGAGTAGAAACGGGGTGATTTTTAGTTAGTAAGAGTCTGACACTCCCTCTCGCCTCACCCGGGCGGGAGATGTAACGGAATCATTTTTACCTCTCAAAAAAAAAATCAGGGTTTGAGACTGTTCGATTCACCAGTGTTGGTGTTGCAATATATTTCAAACCAATAAACTATTCAACGTTATCATATTTGTTGGTATAGAACGAAGTGCGTGAGGTTGCCATCTGGCGCATAATATGTAAAACTTTCTTTAGATAAGATGTCCACTCAATACTTGTACCGGCTTCACCGTTGATTCTTATTTCCATTATTTAAATATAGTAATATTCGTGCAATACGGCCTTTTTATTCATAACTCTTCAATATTAGTGTAAACTGTATATTATATAGTTGAAGAGTTTGTTTGTTCATTTGTTTGAAAACGCTAACCTCGACTACTGGCTTGAATTTGAAATACTTTTTGTGTTAGATAGTCTAACCTCAGTTATAGTATATGAATAACATCAAAACATCACGCTTTTTATCCCCGAAGGGCTACGCAGACGTGCACATTACGGCTTTTAATGCCACTGTACTATGTAACACCCACTTTGCACTATTTATGTTATGAGGCTACCCCGGAGGTTGTAGGCTGGGGTCGTGCGGTTCAGTAAGAGTCTGATACTCCCTCTCGCCTCCCCCGGGCGGGAGAAGTCATTCGATGATTTTCCCCCCTCAAAAAAAAAAAGACTCCAACACTGAGAATTTTTAATAACCCAGTAATACTTTGCCCGACCCGGGAATCGAACCTGAGGCCACTTACCCGGCAGTCGCACTTGCGACCATTCGGCCAACGAGGCAGGCTTAGTAATAGTGTACTATATTAACACCACGCTACGACCAAAAGGAGCCGTAAAAGATAAAATGTCATGGTGTAACTATCAGCAAAATACGTGAATGTAGCAAACAGACTAAACTTTATTCCATTTTTAAAAATATACATAGATAATTATATTTTTTTTATATACCATAAACAAACATTACAAATTTAAGTCTCTACGTTTCAACAGAGATGGTATCATTATATTATTTTGATATATCATTACAACAGTAACAATAAAAAAAATGTACGAAACCGTAAGTATAACTTGTTCAGAAAATTGTGCACGCCATTATGAAATGAAGAAGGTTATCGTGAAGAATTAGGTACATAGAGTACCTATGTAGGTCGGTGCGTACTGTATAAATTATTGTGTACACAACTTCAATTACAATGTCAGCAATTACTAACTATAAACACTGTTACAATGTGTGCGTCTTACTGATATTATAAATGCGAAAGTTGGTATGTTTTTTATTACAGCTTCACATCAA